TCACAAGGGCCGTCCCTTCGGCGCGCGCCACAGGAGTCAGAAGGGGCGTCCCTTCGGCGCGCCACAGGAGTCACAAGGGCCGTCCCTTCGGCGCGCGCCACAGGAGTCAGAAGGGGCGTCCCTTCGGCGCGCCACAGGAGTCACAAGGGCCGTCCCTTCGGCGCGCGCCACAGGAGTCAGAATGGTCGTCCCTTCGGCGCGCGCCACAGGAGTCAGAAGGGGCGTCCCTTCGGCGCGCCACAGGAGTCACAAGGGCCGTCCCTTCGGCGCGCGCCACAGGAGTCAGAATGGTCGTCCCTTCGGCGCGCGCCACAGGAGTCACAAGGGCCGTCCCTTCGGCGCGCGCCACAGGAGTCAGAAGGGCCGTCCCTTCGGCGCGCGCCACAGGAGTCAGAAGGGGCGTCCCTTCGGCGTGTGCTACAGGAGTCAGAAGGGGCGTCCCTTCGGCGCGCGCCACAGGAGTCAGAAGGGGCGTCCCTTCGGCGCGCGCCACAGGAGTCAGAAGGGACATCCCTTCGGCGTGTGCTACAGGGCTAATCCCAGCCTTTAACACCATCACAATCCGGATTATGGGCAGCAGGACACACTATATGGATACACACTCACACCTCCATCCTGCCCTTAGCCCCAGACCATAGAGTGGACTTAGTGAGGTAAGTGCAAACTAATGGCCAGGTTGGTGTTAGATTTCCGGGACAGATGTTTCATAAATACTTAACGAGATTTAAGTGTTTAGGTTCCCAGAAGATGGTTCCCATAAATGACCTCCACCATCTTCTAACCCTTCAGCTTCAATGGGCTGATGGGAATGCTTCCCTGTAGCTGGGAGGTACTGGTTTATACTTAATAATTCTGTACTTGGCTGACTAATTAATATAACTTTCCTTAACATTTGACTGGATCTACAATCCTGGAGAAGAAACATTACACAATCAAACAGGGGTAGGGAATATGTGGGGCATCATTGTAGTTATTGGCAAAAATGCTAAAATCCAGTAGCACTGTAGCTTCCTAAACATACCTGCCTCTCCCATAATGGATGCCTCAACACATCATGCTAGCACTCAATGCTACAGTCACACATCCAGCTCTAAATCCCTGGTTGTGCTAAAAGGACCGGCCAGCATGGCCACCGGCCTGCTCAGGCACAGGGAAGGCCAGCTGCGGGTCCTCACCTCTTTATGGCGCACGCGGTCGGCGTCCGGCTTGATGTCAGTGTTGAGTGACGACGTGCTGGAGACGGAGGAGCGGCGGCTGATGCTGAGACTGCAGGGGGGCTGGGGGGACCGCCTGGGGGACTGGGAGAGAAGACCAGCTACAGCCGAGCCAGTGAGGAGGGTGGAACAGGGAGCTGCTGGCTCCCCAGAGCTTAAAGATATGAAACGGCCAGCTAATGAAATATCCCATCCATCCATCCATCCATTTTCTGTACCTGCTTATTCCATGCAGGGTTACAGGGGTCTGGAACAACCCATCGTAGGTCCACCCACCATTCACACCTATGGACAACTCCAATTCACCTTAACATGTTTTTGGACTGTGGGGGAAAGCTGGAGAACCTAGAAGACTCCTGACCCTGTCTGGTTATATTCTAGGAAACTTTCCTTGAACTGCAGATGAAAGGCAGACCACAACTCAGGCCCCCCTGCTGCCCCCCCGCGGGCGACCCCTACCTCCAAGGGACTCCTGTGTGAGCCGCTCCGCGTCAGCTCCAGCAGAGCCAGGATCTGCAGACAGCCGGCCGGGGAAAGGCACAATACCTCAACACGCGCTTGGTACAAATGACCCAACAGTGGCCACGTGGCTGCATGTACCACATCCAGTTACATACCTGCATTTCACTTGTTATTTTAATGCACCTGGCAGATATTCCTGTAATACTCAGTAACTTTTTACTTACACTATTATTACTAAAGTAACAAGTAACAAGAAGCCCAGTCCAGTCCAGTGATTCTAAATCCGGTCCGCAGGAACTTCCACATGGTCCACGTTTTTGAGGCAGCTGGGAGGAAGTAAAGATGTGGACCATCCGCCGGTCCCTGCAAACTGGACTGAGAAACCCTGAGCTAGCCTGACAGGTGCAGGCGGACTGGGTGGCTCACCTTGGCGTTGAGGGCGCACTGGAGGGGTGTGTCTTTGGCTTTGTTGGGGATTGCAGTGCTGGCCCTGTTCTCCAGCAGCACCTCGATGATGCTCTCGTAGCCCCAGCGAGCTGCGATGTGCAGTGGGGTGTCCCCCTTGTCGTTCTGCAGGTCCAGGCGGCAGGAGTGCAGGTCATAGTACACAAGAGCCTTCACGCACTGAAACAGAGCCACAGGCCGGCCAATCAGATCCCTTTGTTACTTTTCTGTCACCTTTCGCATGTAGACCTTTGCTCAGGTCAAAGGTCGAATCTCACCACCCAAGGCGTTTTTTGCAAATTGCTGAAACTGCCGAGAGTTCAACAGAGACATTTATGCGTAATGAAAAAACATGATCCTTCATTTTCTATTTACAAAAGTATGAGTATAGGTGCATTGGAATGCTTCTCTTCGCCTGCCCCATCTCGCTCTCCTTTGAGACACACACACACACACACACACACACACACACACACACACATACACAGTTGAGAGCGAAATTTAGGGCAGGTCAGGCTTTTTATCCAGCCTCCCTGGGGCATTTCTGGGCGTTAAGGGCCTTGGCCACGGGACCAATGGAGGGGTGCCTATCCTGCAGACGGCAGGACTCGAACCAGCGACCTTCTGACCTTCCTCTTAACCCGCTAAGGAGACACCAGCTCCTGCTTAGCCACACACAGCCCCCAGTTACTCACACTGGACTTCCTGGGACTTAAGCCAACAATCGTTTGTTTGCGAGTCCCAATTACCGTGAAAGAACAGAAGGTCAACGCACATGTCCTGTGTTTGCTGGAGGTATAAACAAGCATAGGTGTGTCAGAGAGAGGCAGTGTCATAATAAATAAGGGCACTCCAAGGTGAGGAGGAGCTGTGGGGGGGGCATGGGGGCTTACATCCTCGTGTCCATACATGCAGGCCAGGTGCAGGGCTGTGTTCCCGTTGTTGTCCTGGGCGTCTGTGCTGGCCTTGTAATGCAGCAGCAGCAGCTGGGACACGACAGTGAGGTCAGCAGGGGTTAGCCACCGGGTGCTGTGCGGGAGACCCTCCAGCAGGGGGCAGCCTTACCGTGACACCCTGGTATCCCTTCTGGCAGGACAGGTGCAGAGGTGTGAGGGCATGGTAATCAGTAGCATTGACCACTGCGCCCTTGGACACTAGCAGGTCGATCAGCTGCGACTGACCTGGAGTGACATTAACGGTCATTAAGAGGCTTAAAGAGGCTGAAACTTACACCACACCCTTCATAAAATTCAACACTCTGAACACTAATTAAAAATGATTTCTGGAGACCAAAAACATCAAAGTAATCTGATTTCTTTTTATTCCATCGAGATGCTAAAAATGAAAACAGAATCAATGTAAAATGGTGCTTCAAAGTGAGAAATGACCCCTCTGCCCACATTTAAACAAGAGCCGACATGAGGACCATCATCTGGAGCGGAGGTGTGACTCACCGCAGACAGCAGCCACGTGGAGCGGAGTGTAGCCTCTGTCGTCCCGGGAGAAGGGGGTGACGATGGAGGGATCGTTCAGTCTCCTGGGAAGCGACAAGCAGCCCAGTGACATTTAGAGGCGAGTGAAGGGGACAGATCACATTGAAACTGGTGCAGAAAAGACCAGGAACTGTGCAGAAATAAAAACTGGGCTGATGTGCGTTGACACGCACGCATGTGTGAGGGTGTGTGGGCAATGTACAGTAAATATTACATTGTGGAGACTAAATGTCCCCATCATGTGATAAAACCCTGTTATTTTGACCATTTCTTCACTTCCCACAGGGCGAAATACAATTTTATAAAAATCGGTGACTGCAATCAAAAAATCAAAAATGCTAAAACACTTGATTTGTTACTTATGGTTATGGTTAGGGGCTGGATAGGGGTTAAGGTTGTTGTTGTTAGGATTAGGATTTTGCCCATAGAAATGAATGGACGGTCCCCACAAAGATATGAATACAATCGTGTGTGTGTGTGTGTGAGTGTGTGTCACATGAGGCTTCTGAAGATATTTTGGGCTGTTCTTTGCTTGGACCTCATGACACAGCAAAGACAGGAGCGCGGAGATAAGAGCAGAGACGCTTTATTCAGCGCAGCCCTTAAGTAAGGCTCCCCCCAGCCTGACTGCCAGGTGCATTAGCAGAAGGAGACACAAACCCCCAGCCTGGAGCCAAAGGCCCGCATGTCTCCAGCCGCGAGGCAGATGCCGCTCCCCCCGGCTGATCCCCCCGGCGTCTGGGGGCCACACTCACCTTAGCAGACGTTTTCCAGGTGATCACCCACCTGCACCCAGCTTTGTCACTCATTTGGGCAGGTCAGTGCATTGTTATGGCACTTTGCACATTGAGCCACCCGGACACTGGGAGTGTACCAAATGAACGTGTGACGGGGGGGGGCTCACCCAGAGAGGTGACGCTCGCAGCTGTCACAGGAACACAGCGGGTGGCACAGGCCAGGGCCGTCCTCGTCACTCTCGCCCTCGCAGAGCAGACGCCGCACCTCTGCCTCGTTCCCGTTTGCTATGTGCTGGGCGGGGCACACAGCGTTAAGGCTGCCATTAGCCGTGTGTCAGTACGGTCCCCCCCCCCGCCATGCCAGCTATGGGTTCCTCCTGGGGCAGCAGCACACGCACACTGGAGAGGCCTGCGAGTGCAGCTCACCTCGAACAGGCAGTCGATGGGGGTGGCGGCGTTCTGCGACACCAGGTTCATCTTATTCCTGAGGAATGCTTTGTCGTTCAGCTCTCCGGAGCCCTGCCAAGCGAGAAGCCACAGGCCTACCATCACGACAGAGCCAGACAGGCCTACCATCACGACAGAGCCAGACATGGCAAAATTCCATTTTGGGGGGCCTATAGGACATTGTGTGTATAATGACAACTAATCACATTTTTTATAATGGTTAAAATGTGGCTTCAAGAAAAGATGATAGTATTTCAATAATACGGTGACCAAATGATGACCTACAGTCGCACCATTATCAGGCAGTAGGTTTCTAAAGATATAAAACGCCTTTGGGAGCATTCAAGAGAAACAGACGCTCTTCACCTGCAGAGTGAAGACTAGGCAGGCTGTATCTGACAGGGAGGGACACTGCATTAGAAAGAGGACCTCAGAGGGCACAAGCTCCGGACCAGAACCGGTTCTAACTTAGGTGAAGCTGCTGTCTTTGTCCCAGGCAACTGCGTGGGGCCGACACTTCAGGGAGTGTTCCACGTTTATGTTTTATCCAAAGTAATTTACAGTAGAGCGAAATGTTGCAATTTATGTGTCCCCCCCAGGATTTCAGCCCACGACCTTTGCATTGTTGCATTGCGAGCTACAGGAGCCCTGTTGTTTTGCTCTGGTGGGGAACCAAAGCTGGCAGACAGCCCTCCTGCCAGGCTGAACGTATGCCAGTCAGGCTGTTTCACCTCCTTGCCGCTGGTGCGGTCTGCGTTCGGAGCCGGTGCAGACCTCACACCTCGCCCGTCTAGGCTGGCAGCCACTAACAGAAAAGGCAGCAGCGTCTCTGCAGGTCTCACATCTCGTTGTGAGGTTATTTCTGCAGGAGGCCGCCGGACAGACCGCCCGCCGGACAGACCGCCCGGCCTCTACGCTATGCGGCGCTCATCTCTATTCTGACATTCAGGACACCAGGAGAAAAACCTATGACTGGCTACAACTGAGGAGGTTGCTGGAGGAATGTGCAAAGTCAACCAGGGTCATTCAAATTCCCAAAGACTCTGATTAAGTTAGATTAACTAGACCTACATAATGAAAGAAGCAAAGTCCACTGGCCCTTTTCATAAAGCCACACTTGGGAAGAGTCTGAGCGGAGTGATGAATGATGAAGGCCAGACACCTGGTCACCCTTTCCGAAGACTAAGGCATCCTTTTAATGTCCCTTCTAAATACACATACCTTAATTTCCTCTTTAGAACAAATTACAATTAGGCCTCTTACAAGCCATCATGAGTTTTATACTACTGAAAGGATTACACCTAATCCATGACGTTCTGTTGCAACCAATAACAATACGCAGCCACAGCCATGCCGCGTCAGGCCACGCCCTGGCTTGGCAGACTAACCGTGGGGTCCTGTGTGAGGTTCCCCTGGCTGACGTACACTATCGCCGCCTCGAACGACGTCATGCCCTGGCTTGGCAGACTAACCGTGGGGTCCTGTATGAGGTTCCCCTGGCTGATGTACTCTATCGCCGCCTCGAACGACGTCAGGCAGTAGCTCAGGTCATCCTTTGCCGAGTGACAGAACCGGAAGTTCTTGATGTAGCTGAGGTTGGCCATCCTGCAGGGATGGAAGGATCTTTAATAAGTGCTTGTGGGAGTTTTACTTACGCAAAAATGTTCTGAGGGCAGGACGAAAAATGATTGGTTCAGAGAGATAATCTATCACATTGCAGAGAAGAGGCAGGACCAAGACTTCTGATTGGTTGGTCCTCCCTCCTCTAGTTGCTTGGACCCACCTTCTCTCCAATCTGACTGTTTATCTCTTCTTCCTTCTGCCCTCAGAACATGTTTGTATAAGTAGAACTCCCATGAGCTTAATAAATACTGTATATATCCTGAGACATGCAGCACAGACAGTTATGACCTATGAAAGAGATTGCATGACTTGCCAATTAGGGATTTCCGTCTTCACCAGCAGATACAGGAGGACCGAGAGCAGATCATCTGCGCACATGGCTTCTATGTTGACTGCAGAAGATATGGAAGAGCTGTCAGCACGGATGAGACATAAGCCGCTTAAAGAAGCCGCACAGTCGATGGCAGGGTTCTGCTAACTGGATTTAGCTCGGCCTGCTGATTTCACTTCCCCGAGTCACTCACGCTGAGAAGCTGGTGTGGGACCAAATTGAGAAATTGCCTGTTCGACAAACACAGATTAGGAGCCGCATAAAGAGCACGTCTGTGAACGGCGGCTAACGGGTTGGCATTGCAAACACAGAAGGATGCATTCTGGGGAACAGCGGGCAGTTTGTCAGGCCGGCATCGGGGGCTAATTGCATTAGGGAGCAGCGTTTTGACTGCTGTCTGTGACAGCCCTGTAATAAAAGACCTCAGGGGCCTTGGTAATAGATCCCTGACTGACACTGATCTCTCCCTTGGGGCGTGCTGAGTGTTACCCACCTGTGCGGCTGGGGGACTGCATGATGGTGAGGACCACCAGCTGCAGGCAGAGCAGCTTGTGCTGTGGTGAGGTGCAGCGGTCCAGCTGGCTGAGCTCCCTCTTCGCGCGCGGGATGTTAATGCTGTCAGGGTGTCACGTGGAACATGGGGTCAAAGGTCTCATTGATGCATGTCTGACACCTTGCACACACAGACAGAGAGACTCTCCAACAGCCTAAACATTACACAGTGCCTTCTTCCTTGTTTGCCACTGTACCTAACAGAGAGCCAGAGGTGATACAAGATATTCTGTTACATTAAAGAACACACACATAACACAACAACTTATACAGGTTGCCAGATATATATTTAAATAAAATTTTATCTGAAAACTATGAATATATATATTAATTTCACCCTCACTTCAGTTCTTTATGAACAAACAGTGGATTCAGTCTAGACCAGTGTTTCTCAACCCGGTCGTCACACAGCCACAGACGGTCCACATTTCTGCTCTGTCCCAATTGCCAGGGAACTGGGAAAGAGCAAAAATAAGGACCATCTGTGGTCCGCGAGGACCGGATTGAGAAGCACTGGTCTAGACAGTTCCATGCCACCCAAGTGAACCAACAAGACTTGCGATTTTACAGCTGTAGCAACTGAAATCTAGTTTATAATCAGACTCTGTGGCACAGAGTACAGAGCACAGCCTCTGCTGAACACTCCCAAACTCTGGCAAACTCACCAAAATTCAGACTTCACACCCAAGTCTCTCTGCTGCAGATGCTGCAGACTTCTGGTGATTTTGTTGAAAGCCGCATCCTGTTAAATACAGATGTTAGCGCCCAAGGAGTCCGTGGCTAAACGCTGTTACAGGAGGTTAATGCCACTCTCAGGCACTGCATACCTGGCTTGCTTCAATACTTCCAACATACTTAAAGATGAAGTCATGGATACCATGATGAATGTACATCTAGGAAGCAAAAAGAACATCAAAAATAAGAACCAGACAGTTACAGTATATGCAAATGTGAACAAGAATGTCCGCATTTTAATGCACATAAGTGCCCCTAAGAGACAGAATGTAGAAAACCACACAATTGTTTTATGGTAAGCTTAATAACACAATATAATCTATTATGTCTTAGTGAATTATATGAACAAAAGAGTGAGAGAGAAAGAGAATTATCTAGAGCAGTGTTTCCAATGGTCCTCCTCAAGTTTGGTCCTTAGTGACCCACAGACAGTCCACATTTTTGCTCCCTACCAGGAGCTGGGAGGGAGCAAAAATGTGGACGGTCTGGCAGCGAGCTTGGAGAGAGCAGAAATGTGGACTGACTGTGGGTCCCCGAGGACCAGATTGGGAAACACTGATGCTGAATGTGGCTAAGTAAGATATATCTACCAATAGCCACTACAGGGGGGCAGTGATCTGAAGCCCATTCCAGGAAGGAATGAAGGTGGGACACACAGAGACCCCCAGGCTTCCACGAGGCACTTGGAGTTAACACTACAGTCACTGACATTTCAGAAATAAATTAAGAGTTTCTGTTCATCTGAATTGCATGTTTTTTTTGTCGGTGAGAATACAGCAGAACAGCCAGGCAGAGAACACAGAAAGACAGGCACACAGATTAAGGTTGGAACTTAAGCTGTGCAGTCAAACGCAGGGTGGCAGACTCACCTCCACAGCCTGCTTCAGAAGACACATCTGCCATTCCTGCTTAGCCAGCACTTTCTGAAACACGAAGGAAGGTCCCGTTATTCGCCCGGGGGGGGGGAGGCACTACAGCAAACCCCCGGGACACACAGAGAAGTCTGACTTACCAGCCGCGAGTCCCTCAGCAAGCACTGAAGACATTTTGTGTAAAGTGCATTCACAGAGTCCTGAGAGGAGAAGAAACACATCAGTACCAAAGACCACAGTGTCCGAACAGCGTTTTCCTCGTTATTAACTTTACACCATCGACATTAATGCGGCCTGACCGACTATGCTGACCGACCAGTACATTCCTCAACACAGATGAGTCACCCCACCTAGCCATCACCTCATTAGCAAGGGGCTAATGACTTGCCCAAAGGGCACTAAAAGACCCCCCCCCACCCCCCTACATCAGGCTGCAGGGGCATTCTAAAGCTCCAGGCTTGGATTTAACCTGCAAGCTTAACGGATGATCTACTTAGACATTCCCAACTCCTATGCTGGCGGCAATTTAGATCACAATTTGTTGGTTGACAGAAGACAGAAGCTCATCAGGAAACCCCCCGGGGGGGTATTTCTGCACAAATTCTCACTAAAGCTCTAAAGCCTTTTCACTACGAAGGACAAGTTGAGGATTTTCCCCACTGCTGTGACTATATGAGGCAGTGCAGATATTGTGCAAGTGTTAGGAAAGATGGCGTTTACCTGCTAACACCGGCACTACACACGTGCGGCGCCCCCCCGCCCCCCCCCTCACTTACGATGTGGTGCCGCAGCCCCTTCCGCTCCTGCTCCTTGTAGGAATGCCGGAAGGTGGTGATGAACTTGTCCAGCTTGTCAGTGTGGCGGCCCAGGAAGTCCTTCACGTCGTCCATGTTCTTCAGACAGCAGTGTGGGGACTGGGAGGTGGGAGCCGGGGGCATCTCTGCTGTCAGGGACATGGGTGACACTGAGCACACCCCCGCTCGCCCTGGGTGACACTGAGCACACCCCCGCTCGCCATGGGTGACACTGAGCATGTCAGAGCTGTGAGCTTTGTGACCCTTAATGTCTGTAGCATGTAACATTAACATGACTAATAACTATACTAGTGTACAGCTTACACAATAATAATTTAATACCATAACGTATTTTCAGTAATTCATTTCTATAGTGAAAACTCTAATCCCAGCATGACGACCTTAACCCCAACCCAAGTCCTAACCTTAACCATGAGTAACCAAATAAAATATGAGACTTTGGGCATTTATAGATTTTTTTTATTGCATTCACAGATCTTTGTAAGTACCTGAAAAATGGTCCCCACAACGTCAAAATAAGTCTTTATCACATTCTGGGGCCATTTGGACCACACAATACAATATAAACATCACAGATGGACAGACAGAGAGACACACACAGACACAGACACACAGAGACACACACACGCACACAAACACAGGCACGCAGAGTGACTCATGCCTGAACAGGCCATTCCAGATAACAGCTTTATGTGAATGGATAAAAAATTGATGGCCATTGTCTTAAGGCTTACTGTGACTTTGGTCGCAGTCTATGGGACGGGCAATACACAGGATGCTGTAGCTCTGCTCCAGTTCATTGTAGAAGGTCTCCTCAAACAGGATGGGAATAGAGGCCGGGGCCTGGAGGCCTGCTCCCAGTTTCACCATGTTATCCTGGACGACCACCTCCTGCAAGAGATCAGGTGATGCAATCCACATTGTCATACCACTCCATTGTGCAAACACCACAAAATTATCAACCTGATAGGGGGAAGACACAGATTATGGTCCCTGATAAACATCTGCTGAAGAAACAGGAGAAACTGAGTTACGGAAAATGTTCCGTAATGAGCTAAAGGAAGAGAAAAGAGCCGTTCCTGAAAACTAAACTTAAAACGCATGGCCATTTAGCACCGGGTTTAATATTAAATGGTAAATGGTAAATGGACTGCATTTATATAGCGCTTTTTACCAAAGCGCTTTACAATGTACGCCACACATTCACCCATCCACACCACACATTCACACACCGGTGGCGGAGGCTGCCATGCAAGGTGCCAACCAGCTCACCGGGAGCAATTTGGGGTTCAGTGTCTTGCTCAAGGACACTTCGATGGGGACAGAAGGACCCGGGGCTCGAACCTGCAACCCTCCGAATGGTAACACTACCTCCTGCACCACCATCGCCCATATTCATGGGTAACTAAAGGTAACTAAAGGTAGCACTTCACCAAGCGGGCTAGGTCCCAAAATAGGAAGGTGTTTACGTGCTGAAAAAGGAACAGTCCTTCCATGAACAGGAGTCTTAAGGACAGCGAGTTACCGTGGCCGTGTGCTGCTGAAAAGCTGCTCTTTAAATAGCCGGGAAGCACTTAGCGGCAGGCCGCGCTAACGCGCTAACACGGGCCTATACTTCACCAGTCGCCTCCTTCGCTTCCTGGCCCCTTCTGCTGCATGGCTCCTCGAGGCTCAGAATATTCAAGAATGGGCACTTAAGTGGAGCAGCCAGCAAGTGACAACGGATGTGTGGGGCAGTAGTGTCAGTTGGACCAGGGTGGGGACAAGGGAGGGATAGAGTAACACCCACCTTGCCATCCAGAGTGCGGTATCCCTCTTCCATGGGTTGTAAGACGTAGCCATCGAAGCGCGCCGCCGGGAAGGAAGCGGCCGGCAGGCTCCCTCGACACGGCACCAGCACCTGGCCAGAGATGGATTGACCAAGGATAGGAATACAGTTACCATTGATCCGCTGCTGCTTTAATCTGTGAATCTCTGATGTCCACAGGAGAGAAAATCCCTCTTAATTCTGGGGCTCACTGTGTAATGGATCAGCTGATGGACAACATGAATCATAAAGTTTAAAATGCCTACACAGTAGTTTTCTGCAGCTATGCATGCTCAGCTTGAAATAGCTGCTCTCCAGTCAGGGTCCACAGACACAGAGACACACAAGTGAAAAAATGTTCCCACTATGTCAAAATAACAGGTTTTTAATCACATTGTATGCGTAAATAACCAAGCAAAATTCAAGACGTTTGGTTATTTTAGTTTTTTGAATGCATTTGCAGATTTTGTCTTTTATAAAAGAGTGAGGTGAAAATTGTCCTCACAAGCTACAAAGTAACATATGATACCACACTGTGGGGATATTTGGTCCCCACAATGAGGTAAATAACACCACACCCACACACACACACACACACACACACACACACCACCCTCTCAGCTGTGCAAAACAGACAACAATCTCAAGACTATTAAAACTCTGTAGATGCTCCAGGCAGAGCTGACATTTAAGGGGATCTATCACATGACCATGTCACATGACCATGTCACATGTCGCCATCAGCCTCATTTCAAACATCCCCAATGGCGTTTTCATTACCACCATGGCCACCTAGACTTAAATATGATCACTGGTAGAATATTAATACATGATTAAATGTTATTAATGCAACTACTTACAATTTTTAAATAAGTAATTTCACACTTTTACTGTATGGTGTACTGGTTACATTTGGTCTGAAAAGTAAAACATTACTGAAAAATTAGTACAGCTGCTGGTTACTGCATTATGCTTGAGTTTAATACCCCACTGTTAACACAAGACAGAAAAGTGAACAAAGCACCCTATGATAACTGCTATCATTAATATTCATAACCTGTTGAACTAGTGGTATTATTTATGTTCTACTTGCTTAGCGGATCACCGCCCTTAACATATCTTTTACAGATTAAGTTTATGATAACAGGTAGCAGGTGAAGAATTGTCAGAGTAAATCCCAGGAAGGAGAGACCAGACAAATCCATAACAACAGACATTGTGACATATTCTAAACAATGAAATTACCATTTTAAAGGTGCTGTCATAGAAACCAGCTCCTAGCTTCGCTAATTTCACATGAATGCTTTTATAAAACTGGGTAATTGCTGTAACATTTAGAGACATTATGCAAACTAAAATAAACATGACCCCCCCCCCCCCATTATTTGTGCAATATGGCAATTTCACACATTAAATACCTTTTACACTATGCAGTGTTAAATTTTAACCTAAAACCACGCAAGGAGGTACCAGAGCAGCAGACTAACTAAATGAATGGAAGTACAGAGGAAAGGCCTGTTGGAGATGAGATTAAATGCTGTGTCAGGTGAGATAATGTAGCCGCATTCTTTCACAGGGGAATTATGTAACAGACATAGCCTGCTTCCCAAATGCTTTAAAAATGCCATTCAGCCACGCACAGAGGGTCATCCAGCATCCCTGAAGTACATCTGTCCTGTCTTCTGACAGACAGCGCACGGTGGACACATTGGCACCCCCAGGCGAGAGGGCAAGGGTGTGAGAAAAGCAGGCTGGACTGAGGACCTCGGCCTCCTAGAACTCGCCCATCCCTCATAGATCAGATACACGGGGAGCACGTCCCCATGATCCTTCTATCAGGTTTTGGGCGATTTCACACGTCCACAAGCTGAAGAGAGACAAGGCATCCTGGTAGATTCCCCTACGTTTGTACAGGAATGAGGCTTTAGGTGCCTTTTCATGGTGAGGGGACTCACAATGCCATGGAGCTCCGCAACCTTACTGCATAGGTCCGGCCGCTGCTTCTCTAGCTCCAGGTAGAACGGGTTTTTCTGGACGTTCTCATCATACACAGCCATATGGACCGGGGACTCGAGCACCTGGAGCAAAGGGAGACCCACACACGCAGGAAAGTTTAGGACAAAGGCAGCAGATCCGGCTCTCCAGGGTGAGCCCTGCATATTGATCTTTTGTTTTTAGATAACATAAACTCTCCAGTTGACCCTGGACACCCAGAAACAGAGATCTGTGTGTGAGTTCCAGATTGCGGTTTGGAGGCTTTAGAGGCTCAGAAGTCCATATTTACCTCAGGCTGATGAGTTCGGAAAGAGTCTGTGTCTTTTCCCCATTCTTCACAATCGATTCTGTTACACACTGCACACAAAGTAAAGGGTGTGACTCGAATACTCACAGACTAAATGGAAAAACCAGCCTGACATATGGGATCATTCGAGCTCGAAATCTAGACAGTGAGATTAAAATCCCAAAAGCCGGCCAAAGACACAAATGAAGCATGACATCTGCTGCAGTGTGACATAAACAAGCCTAGAGGAACTGGACAGGCTCTGCTTGCTGTGTTCCAGCATTCTCTGAAGCAGCTCATCAAGGGGGCTTCTGTCTCTACCCTGACATCCCCGGCTTCTCCTAGTCCCCGGCATAACCAATTAACTCACAGGAAAACCAGACGAGAGGGGCATCTGCATGGGACTGGCGGAGGGGTCAGTCTTGAGATGACGGAGATGATGCAGAACTGGGAGTCTCTGGACGAGACCATGGTGTGACTTGTGGAGCGTTTCACAAAGGCCATTTATGACCTCTGGACCTCAAGGCATAGTCTACGTTTAACCCCAAAATATTTGTTAAACATGTGCCAACGCTGCAATCACTCCCTCCATACCCAAAACCTTCCCTCACCTCAAAGACCCTAAAGACTATGTCAGGGCTGTTCAAATCACGGTCCTCAAGGTCCGAGCCCTGCCGATTTCCCAGCCTTCCTCCACCATTGAGTCAGGTGTGAAGCCTCTAGCCAATCAGAATCAGTAATTATTAAACTAACTACCAGGGATAACTGAAAACAAGGCCAGGATTTGGAACTGAGGTCCAGATTTGAAGGGGGGGTATGTAGTTGTATTTTTAAAGCCATTCAACAGCAAAGGAGGTCTACAGCACAGCACACATGGTTCCAGCAAAAAAATCAAGCAGAAGGATCAAGTTATCAGCCTTACCTGGAAGAGTCAGAACTAAGAACAGAGAATGATGCCCTGTAGATGTGGAACGGCCTTTTCGCTTCGTCACTGTACCAGCTGTATAACAGGTTAGCTGTGTCCTGTGTTTACCGATATAAACTGACAAAGAATGCTACGGGAAGGGGCATGTCACATGGCTCTGGCTGGGAATCCATGCCCTTAAACATCTAAATAGATGAAGAGTGCAACACTGTGCTACAGATACAGCCGTTAGCCAGAGAAGGCTGACGCACTGTTTACATCCAGTGAGACAGCTGCACCTCGACCGGCGAGCGAGTGCCGCTGGAGAAAAGCTTTCAGTAAAATGGAATAAAGTGCTAATGCAAAAGCAAATATATGCCTCAGCCTCAGATCTTTTTCTTTAACCCTCAGCACCCTCCCTTTTGCTCCAGGTGTACAGAAGGGTACAGAAACCCTGCGCCAATATGGCACCAGTTCCCATGCGACCACACCGCAAGGCAGATTTCAGCGTTTCATTTTGGTGTCACCTAAATGCCTGAGCTGTTGATCGAAATATTTGCCCTCCGAAGCTCAGGCAACAGAAGCATCACTGCACCTCAAGTGTCGTCGCTCGTTAATGTTACACCTACTGTTAGCTAGCAGCTACCTTAAACGCGGCTAAAAGGCCTAACGCTAAACAATCTAAAGTGTGGCTGTATTTCACTGAAAAGGATTCCAGCACCAGGATGTTGTTATGTGAATTTGTTAAGTGTTTTGTATTTATATGTATATATTTATGGTGCTAGGTTAATATAAACCTATTGTTCAATTTTAAGTTCAAGTATGCCTTAGAAATAAAAAAGTCATTCTTTAATGTTGTCAACCTTCAATTTGTGCCTTTTTATTCAGGTACCATTTTGACACAGTTTTAAAAATGACATTTTAGCCCCGGTATTGAAAAAAACATAAACTACTGGCTCACGAAGTCATGTTAGCAAAAGGTACGGGTCAACCAACACACTGCTGATGCATGAGGCAGTTTGCGCACGGGGACGTAAACATACAACAACACAGAACAGAAATGAACAGATTGGTCCCAAAGATTTGCCCCATTGTCACTGATAATGACTCAGATAGCTGGATGGGGTATCGGACCGATATCCAATATCAGCATCGGACTGGTGCATCCCGAGCACCGTGTCATAGTGCTGATGCGTGTATGGAGAGGTTTGTCCAGGCTGTACTGCTTGGGTTCAGTCTCACCCATGAAGTCAGCCTGTACATGAAGCTGCTTGCCAGGGCTTGCTGATTTATCCGCTGACTCATCCAGTGGCTTCCACCAAGACAGAGTTAAAAAAATAAAAAATAGGCCACTGGTGACCCACAGTCACGAAACAGAATCCTATATAGAAGAATATTTCTACCATTCAAGGTGTGAGGAAATCTCCCAAAGAAAACACAACCCTCTCATCTTGCTCATCTTCATCCTTCGTAGGCACCGGGAGGGCAATGAGCATGTGCCCCCTGTAGGGGAGGAGGACTAGTGCACACTACACCCCTGCAAGGCCCCTAACCATTACAGCCTTTAAAGATAACCCATACAGAGCAGGTTCATGTCCCAGGTTTGTAGTTCCCTTAACCTGACCTGTTCCAGTAAAACACCCAAAGTCACTTTGGACAGTGTCAGTCTAGAACAGAGTTCTTCAAATCTGGACCTAGATTCCAAATCCAGGCCTTGTTTTCAGTTCTCCCAGGTAGTTAGTTTAATAATTACTGATTCTGATTGGTCAGAGGCTTCACACCTGACTGCCAGGTAAAGGAAGGCTGGAGAACCAGCCGTGATTTGAATAACCCTGGTCTAGATTCTAGAAGCTATGTAACAAACAAAACAGCAATAAACCAGGTGATACCTTGGACTGTCATACTGCTATTTGAGTATTAATTTTCCCCCTTCGCTGTAATTTTAATTAATTTCCCTGTATCCACCACATTTAGTGCCAGCCCAGAAAGCTCTGAGATGAATCTTCCACCCTCTGATATGTTAACAGCCAAGCACATTCCTTTCTTCACTCTCTATGGAATGTGTGACATGAGTAACACATGGTGCTGAAGCATGTCTCCAGCCACTGGTACCCAGTAACCAGCAGGCAGCTGACAGATCTGATGGAGGCACTTGGGCAGCAGTTACAGCTTCTGCACAGGTTGAGCAAAAGCTCAAGCATCACACAAAATAACATACAAGTATCTAAAAGAAAGCTTGTTCATACAAACACACTGGTGAGAAACTGAAGCTTAAAATGTCACATTCGTTAGTAGGAGCTGATTACTGAAGAAGCATAAGGGCATGGAGATTTCTGAAGTCAAGGTTCGAGTTTGGCTGGAGGTGCTGCGTTCCCCATGCAGAGCTCTAAACTACACATCCAGTCACTCCAGCCTTCCCAGGGACTGCAGGCCTGCCCTGGCCAGCTCTGACCAACCCCTACTGGAGGAGCCTCAGACCCACAACAGCCAGGATGGCTGCTTCTTAGAGAGCTCTCCAAACACAACAAAATTGCTTCGGCAGCAGGCGTTACCCAAAGGGGTAAGATGGACCACGCCTCCTATCTCACCATAAAAGACCAACTTTGTGTGGTTTCAGCTTTCTCTCCATTGCACAATGCTTTTGAATTTTTAACTGTTTGTCATATCTTTGGATTTTCAGGATGATCAAAATGTTAACACAAATGCTGTTAAACACATTGGATCGTTTTCATTAAGGTTTTCAATAATATTAAAATACGTAAATGACACTAACCCTGCCACCCCACCCCCCCCAAACAGCGCCTTGCTAACAAGCCCCCAGAGCATTAAAAAACAAAGGCACACCCTTACACAACAAAATTGCTTAAAAGTGGCTAAATATTCAATACTAAATTACCAAATCTATAGTGCTGAATAGTCTCTCGTGCAACAGACAGTTTTCAAAGTGCGAAAACACCTCATGCTGCTCACAGCTGCCGAAGGTTGAAAGCTGAGCAACCTTAACCCACTCCCCACCCCCCACCCTCGAAGAAAAGCTTCCTTTATAAAAGTGAAAGCCTGCAGCTTACAACAGGGAACAGAAACCATCCAATGCATTAACATCTATACTAGTCATGGCAAAAACCACAATGGCATCATGGATCATGTGCATAAGCGGGAATTATGTGCTCTTCTGGTTGCTGGGTGAAATTCTTTACACAAAACATTCAGCTGTTTATCTCAGCAGCTGTGAGGAAGACACTGTCTTCATCCCCCACGATAGAGCACCGTCCTAATGGTAAGCTGGAAGGTCTGGACACAACGAAGTGCTGAATCCATAATCAACATTCAAAAAAGTGGGATACCAATCATGCTCTTCAAAATGTAAACCCATGTGTGACACTCACAAAACACGCACACACATGCAGTACTCCTCAAATTCCATCCTGTTTACACACATACAGCATTCACCTTGCTCGACTGGCACACATACACAGCCAGTCAGCCATTAAAACTTCCTGAAAAGTTATTTCAAAGCGCCTTTTGTATTCACTTAATTGTCCCTAAACAATTTAACAATAATAATATAGGGAATAAATCCAATACACACCCAGCTTATGAATTTCTAAATTACTTTCACCACAGCAAAACCAAAGATGCAGTAAACAGTGATTAGCATCCAACACTGCAAAGTTACTTTGTATGTTCCTGTAATCTAGCCTTTGGGGCTCTTAATGGATGGGCGACAAACAGAGATGGACCAGTACGGGAAATGGTACCACCTGCCCAATCTGTCACCATCGGGGACAACTGAGGAACATCAAGTACAGCGGGGCAATATCATACAAAACGTTATGTTTGTCAGTAAACAGAGATTTCAGAAGAGCTGGAGTCTATTTTAGCTTCTCATGCTTCTATTCTAGCAATTACTGTAAGAGAGAAATTAGTTTCCACCTGAGCAAGCAAACATTACAGGATATTCTAAGAATCTCATCTGTGAACAGTAGTGTTACGATAATCAGCTGTCTTGGTCTTGATGATTACTGAAGCGTCTCACACAAATGCAATTTTCACAACTGTGCAATTTATTTGGCACCTGATCTCAATGTCAAATATCAGCAGGGCTATAACACACTGTCACAACAAAACAATAGAACCGATCATCTGCAATCTGAAACTAAAGCAAAAATTGGTTCAGCAATTAAAAATGAACACTCTGTGGTTATTTAAAACCCCTGCAGCCACATTCATTCTCTTCAACGTCCCCAAAATGTACGATGTACACGACACTCATCGTGCAAAGTGCATTTCAGTCATGCTAGGCTGTATGTTGTAACTGCATCGGTTAAAACTTGCTTAATACTTTAAGACAGCCGCCTGCCTCTGTGTGCCTAATCAGTTTGGCCTATTTATTTAGAAGAGGAACCCCCGTCCGCCAATAATACACGCATAAATATATAAATACAATATCTATACCTATAAACCGCGATGGCAAAAAGACGATGAGAAGGAAAAATAAAAATGGTTAGGCAGGGTCACCCAGGTGGTTATGGAGATAACCTGTCATCTTTTCCGACTTAACCTATAGAAATACAGTATGACGCGGACAACTTTTTCTCGAAAATTCACAGTAGTGCCAATATACGTGTAAAGCCACGGCGATGCACAACTAGCTAACGTGGGTGAGCAGCGGTTAGTTGCTGGTCAACCAGACAGCTAGCAGGCTAGCTTGGCGTGACTCAAAGTATCCTCTGCTCTATCTCGTAACAATTATACTTCTATGAAAACATTTACATAATACAGGTCAAAACTTTAGCCGGTATATCCAATATTCACAAACACACGACGTGCAGAGACTTACCTTTCTAGCTATACACCCCAGGTATACATAGCAATTTTTACACTTCTTCTAGCTACCAAAGTCATGTAAACACCGCAACCTCCGTCAGCACTATCGGTCTTTCCAACTTGATTTCAAAAGAGGGCGGTAATCCATTTTGAATGAAAGAGCATGACGACCAATTGTCGTAAAGGAAAAACGATGGCGCAAGGCCGTCCAATCAGAACAGAGTGTTGAGTGACAGTTCACATGTTGGGCTAGGTTGAGAGCCGGGCTGCTGAGCGCTTCCCTGCAATGAGCGCATGTGACCACACAGGGCGCTGAGGGGTATTTAAACCTGGACGGCGGCTGGCTGCAAGTGGACAGCTCCCTTCGCTGGGAAGGCTAACCATGCTGCGCGATACGGCTGAAGCGGTCGGAACTAGGCTGCGCTTGCGAATGGAGGGATTTGCTTTGTCCGCCACTGGCTCTACCTTTCCGTGACCACAAATTGAATTTATACATTACTAGTATTAATTATTATATACGTGTTCCAATTTACAAGCATCCAGATGCTTTAATACGCTTAGGTGAGTTTATGAGAGACTAGAAACACCTGTTACTGGACCTGCATATAGATAGTTAAGTTCAGACTTATTTTTTTTGCGCTCAAAGCGCAGATCACTGTTTATTTACTTTGAAGGCTAAAGCTGAAAGCCTTTTACGGAGCTAATTTTCTTCTGGTTTGCTTTGTTGATCTGCTTTATGAAATTGACTGGGAACATGGATGGAAGAGAATCGTCTACAACTACATCGTCTGGGGTATTTGGGCGGATCTGCGGATCCCGTGGAAACTAGAAGCAGACATTACAAAGCTTTAAAATAATATAAATCAGATAACGCGTTTGTTCTTGTGGAAGTCTCATACGAACGTTTTTCTTTATTCTTTATTGTTCGTAATAAACGGAAATCCACGTTGGCGAATAAAAATGGGGAAAGACGAATGTAAAACCATGCTGGATGCCCTGAATAAAGTGACTGCTTGCTACAGGCATTTGGTCATCACCCTCGGGAGCACCGCGGACTCTCAAAACCTGAGAGAGGAGCTGAAGAAGACGCGCAAAAAGGCACAGGAGTTGGCCGTGGCCAACAGGACTAAACTGACGGCTTTGCTGAAGGACAAGAGCATCAGCAAAGAGGAGCGCTCCGAATACGAGAGGCTATGGGTCCTCTTCAGCAGCAACATGGAGCTGCTTGAAGTGGACATGAAGCGATCTTTGGAAATCGGACAGGACTTCCCATTGAGAGTGCCCACCAAGCACCTCATTCAGACGGGGATGAATGGCAGTACTACTACCGTGGCGGCGAGAGCCATGAGCATCCAAAACATGAAATACGACGCGGACAATAACATCGACACGGAGGATCTGAAGGAGCTTGAGACCGAGATCACACAGGTCGGTCAGATGATCGAGGAGATGGAGATGAAAGTCCAAGTGGCGCCCTGGGCGGTGGAAGCCAAACAGGAGGCAGGTGCGGAGCTCAAGTCCACTGCTAGTGTGGGCAACTCCTCCGTGGGTGTCATTTCCATTTGCGAAGAGGAGCCCAAAGAAGTAGAGAGCGATGGAGGCATCATGAAAATATTTGCAGGAATCGTTTTCACTGCGGTTGTGTTAATTGCGGGCATTTTAGGCTACTTAATCATAAACCTCTGAATAAGCCGAACAGACTGTCTTTTCGCTTGGAGATTAGGCCCATTCTAGCAACATCCTGCTTTTTACTAGACAGGCACTGCAATGAAACGGGCTTTGAGAAGTTGGACATCATACGAGATCAGTGCCCATACCGATAGCGAAAAAAAAACAAAATGAGCACAAGTCACCATGTGCATATAATAAACAGATTGTGGTTCCTACATGCTTCTTAGATGCTCGTCAAACTGAAGGCAGGTATAAAACCATTAAAACGTTATCCTAAACGTCTGCTGTCGATCGTTCCAGTCTAGAAATATCTACGTGTAAGGGTATTGACAGAACCAAAATATCGGCCACTTCTGGTCTACAGAAAGCTCTGAGCATCCCAGTATGTCTAGAAGTTGTTCCATGTGAGTGCAATCGGACAATATGTTGTGCATTCAGTGTAAGTGTTTTGTCACAGCAACAACATGTTAGCCTAAAATGACCGCACTGTATGTCGCAATTAGTATCTGTGGTCTTACATGTTCGATGAGGTCTTCAGGTTTTATAGTGATTATTGACAGCCTGTTTCCTTTATTCCTGATGGCTTATGTTGTACTTATATGGATGCATAGATACGATGTTTCGGTTAAAAAAGTTGAGGAGCTGTACAGACTTTTTCCGTTTTAAATAGTGTATATAATGAAGTATATTTAATAGAATAAACAACATTTAATGACAAATCCAGCTGTTTGGGAATTTGATTTGTATAGAGGTTTGGTAGAACCAGTCAAAAATAAAAATGTTTTACTGTGGAGTATTAACATTAAACATGCATGACAAGGTCTTCAACTGTCAGTTTAGGAAATACATTACATCTAGATATAGATTTAACAGATCCGTCTGGCTGCCGTAGACTATATTACTGTCTTTTGTATGCCAGTGTACTGAAGTGCCTAGACATGGGACTGGGCGGTGAATCTGGCAGCTGATGAACTATGAGAGGAAGACAATCTTCCTTTTTCTCTTTGCACTTCTTGTGTTTGATTTTGATATTTCAGTGAGCCAGCATTCATGTGAAAAGATGCACCAAAACGTGCTTTGTGGAAATGCAACGACCTGCATTGCCCTCGTGTAGCTTGTTGTGGGAAAAATCAATTCTGGGGCACTGTAAATCAATTAGGAGGCTGATTTATAGAAACTGAATCTTTACAGAGGCTAGATGCTCTTTGACTGAGACCCCCTTTCCCCCTGGCATATATATCACGTAGAGAAGACTGAACCTCGCTTATGGTTTCTAGTTGCTGGAAGACACATTTAAAAAGTGCACTTAAAAGTAGACTGAGCTTCAGAGGTCTCTGTGTGCTTTGCCTCGTAATGTGATTATGTGCTAGACTTTCTAATGTTGTCTCAGGAGCGACTTTGTTTGGAACACCGGGGGGGGGGGGGGAGGGACTGGGCAGGACTGCTGCATTCCAGGGCATACACTGGGCAGATTGGCAGCAAGGGAGGGTACTGGATTAGAGAAGGCGTAGTGAGAAGGACCACAGAAACAGGAGAAGGGTTTTGAGGAATTAATTGAATAACTTGTAACTGGCCTCATTAAGGCTGCAGTGTGTTGGCATCTTGTCCTGGACAGAACCCAGTCTCAAAAGTTTTTAAGAAACGACTCAAGACTCATTTATTTAGATTAACTTAATGTGTATATTTTTCATTATTTATTTGTACTATTATTATAATTATTCTCTTTTTCACTACTTTTCTTCTTATTGATTCTAGCTTGTATTTTATTCTTTCAGTCTGTATTATTTTTCAACCTGCTATTACTATTTTACTTCTACTGTCTCTTTTTATTTTTCTTCTATACAGTAAATGTACATTACAAATACATTACAAATTACAAATACATTACAAATACAATTTCTTCTTCTTCTCATTATTATTATTATTAATAATAATAATAATAATAATAATAGTAGTAGTAATAATAATAGTAGGAGTCGTGTTTCCTGCCTTTCGTACACAGCTTCCGGGATCGGCCCTGGACCCCTGCGACCCTCCACTTGACAAGCAGATATAGAAAATGGGTGGATGGATTGATCTCATTAAGCGATTTGGCTGTGTTAGTGGCTTGATAAATTCCAGAACTTCTTTCCAACTTTTAAAAATCTGCACCTAAATCCTGTTTAAAAAAAAAAAACAGCTAAAAAAATCTTAACTTCTACATTAAGGATGATTAACAGGCTTGCAAACCACTGGGATTCTGCTAAACTGGGCCTCAAGTTAAGGAAGGCTGGGGTAGGCAAACCTGCATCCTGCTCAGTTCGTATGCAGTCTTGGAATCCGCTTGTGTTTTAAAACCTTCCAGGGCTGCGCTGCAGCAATGCTATTCACTCGCTATTATGTTACCTGGTCAGCATAAGCATCATGACAACAGCCATAGAAAGTGATGCCCTTAAAGTGTAGTAATGTGAACAAAAACAGCAAGTGTGCGCTGTGTAGTCAACCTGCATGTAATGTTACAACTGAAGAGACAAGGCATAGACCACAAGCACCATCAATATTTAAATCAAAGTAGGATGTCCATGTTTGTGCACACGTTTCAGCCACCTTGAATCATTTATAAGGGGATGGGGGAGGCAGAGAAGCTGGGGGGGGGGGGCGGTGTCCCGCCTTATAAGGCACAGGTGGTAAATGACAGTGAAGATTGCTATGGGTGGTTCAGATGCCAGTATCCATACAGCAATTGAAGCTTATATTTAAGATGGAGTCTTATTACAGAACTGAATACAGATGAGGTTAGAACACATTCATTCAGATCTTTGTCTCAAGGATTTAAGAGCATTATAATCAGGGAGAACCCATTTTGAGGTGCCGAAGGAGGCGTGTGTGGATCCTGGTACGGCATTGCGGGGTAGCAGAGCCGACGCAAGCGGGATCTCACGCATCTGACATCAGCGGGCAGAGCCGGCAGCACATTTTCAGCTGGGTTGGTATGGCTACCATCCACAGCCTCAGCAGATGGCACCAATCAACACGCAGAGAAATTTCCACTCCCCCACAGATGGGATCGGGTGGGGGTGCTAAGGAGACTGACGCAGGACACTGTGAACTGTGTGAGGAGAGGATCTCTCAAGTGGAGTTTGAACAAACACCACCATAGACAAAGCTCATACATTTTGTTACATGGCTTATGTAATGTTATAGGGATCTCTTGTTAAATCTATCTGTATAAACTACAAAAAAATTCTTAAAATAGTTTTGGTATGGCAGAATTTCTGCTTCCTAACTTGATTTTTCTAGTGACATTAAAACATAAAAATTTTGTGTAGGCTTTGGCTCTTATAAATCTGGAAAGATCTGAATGGTCTAAGTAGGTTATTGAGCTTGATAGGTTTGTTGCACTATAAGAAAGGCTTTTGAAGGTGTAGTCAGTGTTGCAGCACCCCCTGCTGACAGAAATCCTGCTCATATCACAGGCAAGGTCCATAGCAATAGAGGGCAGTTGTTTTGTGTGACATGACACGGGCGTGTGTGTGGGGTGACCGGGTGCAGCTCCCCCGGAGGGCAAACACAGAACTGCACATGAAGGTATGTGCGTAAAAACTGCAGGATCTCTGTGTCTCAGATCTTCAAATGTCTAACAGGAGGATACCGGTGGGAGCAAAGGACACTAATATGGCGGGGCGGACCTCCGCAAAAGCCACAACCACAGCAGATGTTATAAAAGTATAGACCTCATAACACCCCAGATGTACATTTACCTATATACAGATCTTTATGTATAAAGTTATATTGGTAACCATACAGACTAAGACATGTACTTCAATCTATATAGACATGTTTTTATATAACGGTATATTGGTTACCATAGCCATCAGATATGTACATTTACCTGTATTAATAATGTGTAATAAAGGTTTCATATGTAACTGTGTCATCACATATTCATAGTTATGTGAAATGTAAGCTATTTTATTTTTCTAAGCCCATGTCTGTGGAGGTGGGGCTTGGCTCAGAAGGTTTGGTTGCTGTACCTGGGAGCTGATACTATCCAGTTCAAATCCTAGCGTTGGCAGAACAGCTGCTTCTGCTTTTTGGACAAAAGCATTGTCTAAATAAATAAAATGTCAGATGGACAGTCTTCCAAACGATAGTTCTCAGCTATCTTTAGTATTTGACGGAAATATATTTCTGCAGTGATTCTTCTGACAGGTGCATGAGGAAAATACGCTTAGCACTGTCCATTGGGGTTGTCTTAATGCAGTACAGTGACCTCCATACGCAGAACCTACCAAGAAACATACGTGTTTCATAATCACTTTGACTGCACACTCTGTCACACACACAGTCCACCAGGACCCCATGTGGATTCCACCCCCCCCCCCCCCCCCCCCCCCCACCCACCCACTGGAAAACAAAAAAAGTATGACCATTAATAAATAATGCACTGGAGCTGCATAAGTATGTAGCCAGTGGTTACGGTGGTGATTAAGGATGCCGACTCATTAAGATTGCTGGCTGCTTGTACCCTTGAGAACAGTACTTCATTCCTCCAGTAAAATATCCATCTTTATTAATGGGATAAATTTGTAAGCCCCTTTGGGTAAAAATACCAGCCCTCACAAGCAGATTTAAAAACATTAATGAATAGTTTGTCTAACTGGCTCTAATTAGAGAGGCCTCCTACGTTGGTTATTTTAAGCACGCAGTCAAAGCGGGTGCACATAACGGCTCAGCGTACTTAGGTCAGTAAATGCAGCTTAAACGGCCATTTTCAGCTGCGATGCAGTGGACACTGCAAATCTAGCTCAGCAAAAACGTTATGCACATCTCTGTCAGGAAAAGAGTGGTATGCTTGAGCCCCCCCCCCCCCCCCCATAAAACTCCTCCCACTGATCTCATCATTTGCTCCCAGAGTGCACTTCTCCACCGCAGCGAGATGCCCGCTGTTGGTGCTGATTGCGCTCTCCTCTTCTCATGGAGGATGCAGTTACACACTTAGGCTTTCCATATGCACACAGTACACGTTCCATTTAAAGGAATGGAAGGTAAGTAGTAATGTTGCTGGGGATTTGAATCCTGCCTCCACACATTTCTACTTGCATTCCAAAGATGTACAGAGTAATTGGTGCCCCCCCGTACAGTTGTCGTACAGTTGTATATCAGTATTCGTCATTATCATAGCATTTTAAGGTCTGTTGAATCAAATTAAACCAATGTTTCTCAGCCCATTCGTCAGGGACCGCCAGTCAGACCACGTTTTTGCACCTACCAGGAGCTGGGAGGGAGCAAAAAACGTGGACCGGGTTGGGAAACACTGAAGTAGACTGTGCAGCAGCAGGACATCGCAGTCAGCTTCACTGAGGGATTCTCATACAGTATGACACGTCAATTAATTTATACTATGTTACTATGTCAACTATTCCAAAGTGTGCAGTTGTATGTTATGTTTACACAAATACTTCCAAAATACCAAAAACATAAAGGTGTTAAAAGCTGCTCTGTGCTGCTTCTGAAGCTGATCATATGAAATGTTATAGAGAAGATGATTATCGCTTTTCAGAAATAGTTGGAAAAAGATTTCATCATTGATCCTCCTTTTACTGATAGCAGATAATGTTTTACCTTTTATTTTTGGTATATTTCAACAGAAAAATGTTATAATAAAGTCTTTCTAGATTAATCTTATCACTGAATGAAACTGTAGCTGCATGCAGACATTACTCATGCCTCTGGTGATTTTGCTGCTGGTTGTTCTGTAACCATGACAGCACTGCAGAGATGAGATTTCATGGTTTCAGCTCACCTCTCAGTCAGTGAGCATTTCCCCACCTATCAGTGATTCACAGAAACTGCCTCCAGTGTCTTTGTACTGTAGCTCACCAGCCTGCAACAATGACCTTTGACCCTACACTTCCTGCCCTTGTCCTCTTCTAGAAAACCCACAAGCATTACAAACAGCAGATTCCCCCTCTTACTAGAATCCCAGAATTCAGGTTACCCAGTTTTCTTGTTTTAATCACATTAATTAATTTAATTCTTTATTATAAAATACTGTGCAGGCTGGAATAAGTGAAGAATTACAATGTTCAGATCAGTTTGGGAGATTTATGTAAATATAATGGGAAGTAAATACTGAAGCTTTACCAATGAAACACCAAAGATTCCCCAAGTGAGTAAATGAAATGAGTTTTGAAAACAAAAGACACAAGCTTTAGAAAGAGCTAATGGTGGGATGTACTGTAACCAACCAGCCCTGAATGTGTGAGACTATAGTGCTACTTATAGAGTCGACTGTTTAGGAAAAAAACACAAAAAAGCTGAAAAAATAATAAAAATCTAAAACATCTGGAACCTGAGTAAACTGCCCAAGACTAAACAACCACTGCAAGCAAACATGTGACTTTCCAAACCGAGGCC